AATGAACAACATGGCTTTTTCCGCTAACGAACCAACTCCACCTCAAGCTGGGACCTCTTCAGCGATGGAGGCTGTCAGCTCTCCATCACCTAGCATTGATGCCTCACCTAACAGCACCAACAATGATTCCCAACCACGCACGCCTTTTGAGTTTTGGCAAAGTTTTTCACACCATGCTCGTCATGTTCAAGCTCGCAAAGAAGTCGTTTATGAAGACAAAGCAGCAAAAGATGCAGCTCAGCGCCTACGTCAAGAACGCATCTTTATTCGGTCCATGGAATCTGATAGTGCAGTTTTCGATATCGCTCAAAGCTCTGGTATCTCTACCTCTGAATTTTTTGGAGCACTCACTCGTCAGCATCCAAAGGCTCTAGGCTGGGTGCCTAGCAAATTTCGGTCTTCTTGTGTTATCGTTTCTTTTGAAGATGCAAGCTCGCGGGATTTAGCATGTGCTGGTGTAACGGTTGGCAGTAGCAATTTGATCGGTACTCCGACTTTGCACATGGAGAGTTCGGTTTATGTTGTTCACCTTTCTGGCCTTCCACTTATGAAGCGCGACGATCTTGCAATCGCTATCCGTGACAACATGTATCGCTATGGACACGTTTTGGATGTAAAAGTGTGCACGGATGAATTTAATTTGTTGACAGGCAAGGGATCTGTTTTGCTGGACACATCGCCGAATGATCGAGAAGATCCAATCTCAGCTTTGGAGCATGAAATTCATATGGAAACGCGGGGTCACAAGCGCATCGTTTTAGCAAGATGGCGAGGCATGGCTATTCACTGCAATTATTGCAAGAAGGAGGGTCATAAGATTGCCGAATGCCAAAAATTGCAAGCACGAAAGGATCGTCAACTTCAACGTAAACTTTGCTACATATGCCAATCACCTGATCATCTAAAGGCAGAGTGCCCTAGAAACCAACAAGCGGTCTCTACCGGTAAACGAGCCCGCACTGAAGAGTTTTTGGTTGATCCTCATGTTCCTCAGTCGGAAGGTGAAGTTTTAGCTACGAAGGCTATCACTACCAATGATCCAGACCTTGATGAATCTTCGTCAGCTTCTCAGCAACAATCGCGCCCGCATTCATATGCCCTACGACCCAAAAAGAAGTCCGCTTCATATGTCGACACTCCGATGGATGGTATCCTTTCTGACTCTGCCGACTCTGATCATGACACCGACATGGATAACTCCAACGACCGATCTACCAATGACATCAATCATGACCACGATATGGATGGGGAAGGTGATGGTGGTGGTCCACGACCACCATCTCCCACACAGTACTGAGGTTGCTAATGAGATCACCGTGGCAACATTGAATTGTCGCGGTCTCAAACGCTTGTCTGCCACTGCCACTGGAAGACAATATGCACGTATTATACGAAACTTACGATATGATATTATATGTTTTCAAGAAAGCCACATTGATTCTGATTCCTTGGGTGATATTACTCAGCGAATACTTCAAGCTCATTCATCAACATGGACACCTCATTGTGGGGTGGTTTGCTTTAATCCTCATTTCTCAGTTGAAACCGTACATTCTGCTTTTGATGGGCGACTCCTCATCGCACGTGTTTCTCATCATCAACAATTATGCGACGATTTTCTACTTTACGTTCTTTATGCACCAGCCACGCCATCTCCACGTATCACCTTTTTACAGCAATTACATCATCATCTCCAACAACACCATACGCCTCAACAACGATGTATCCTTTTGGGTGATTTCAATTACAACATTTATCATACAACTCGACTTACGAACATGGCCGATTGGTCTAACTGGCTCATGACTTCATGGCATGATCCTTTCTACTCTGAACCTTCGACACGTGATGCACACACTTTCATTAGAGGTGGCAAATTGGATTATCTTTTATGCTCTCCTGATTTACAGCATTCGATTCATTATCCACGTCTCACCTATGTTCCCCATACGGATCATCATGCTTTGGCTGTCCAATTCACTACCGGTGTTCCATCTCGTGGACCTGGGATTTGGCGTTTCAATCCCCATCTTTTGCAACAGGAGCACGTACGTGACCAACTCAACCTGTGGCTCGATGCTGCTATGGCACATTTACCACAATCCTCAGCTCAAGACCGATGGGATCGTTTGAAAATCCACCTGAAAGGGTATTGTCAAATATTGTCACGCAAGGCTTCTTCACATCGCCATCGACGGCTGCGGTATTTACATCGCCAATATCGCTCTCTCATCCGTTTGAATCGCCATCACCACAATGATGAATCCTATCAAGCCCGCCTCCAACAACTTCGCCACGACATCGACACCATCCAAAATGAGGAAGCTGATTATCTTGCATTACGTTCTGGTATCAAATGGAGGGAATATGGGGAACGATCTAACAAATATTTTTATGAATGTCTCAAGGATCGTCAAGTTGCCAAGTACATCCCTGCTATTGCTAATGAGGATGGAACCCTTGCCACAACACCGGATGATATGGTTTCCAGAGCCCATGATTTTTACTGCAAGCTGTATCAACGCGAGGCTATTGATACATCCGCACTCAGCAATATTCTTCAAGCCATTCCCGAGGATTTGTCTATAGCTGAGGATGATCAAGAACTCTTAGCGATGCCATGGTCTGACGATGAGATTCTCAACGGGATCTCTCGTAGTCCATATCGTAGTAGTCCTGGTGTCGATGGCTTTCCATATGAGTTGCTTCGGTTCCTATATGGCCATCCACGTGTTAAACCACTCATGCAGCAGGTTTTCAATGAAGCTCTCACTTTGGCGCGTACACCAGTTTCTTGGCGTACTTCGGTGGTGACTCTTTTACCGAAACAAGGTGACAGCACGCTGCTCAAAAATTGGCGGCCCATTTCTCTCATTTGTACGGATGCAAAAGTGTTCACGCGGATGTTGAATACACGCATGGGACCTTTGGTGGATAAGCTGGTGAATCGTTATCAATCTGGTTTCCTCCATAAGCGCTTTATTGGTGATAATGGTCTACTTGCAAGACTTGCTATGTCTTTAGCTCAACGCTTTGATCTTCCTGGTGCGGCCTTATTATTGGATCAGGAAAAGGCTTATGACCGCGTACATCCTGAATACCTCAAGGCGGTATTACGGCGTTTTGGTTTTGGATCTCTGGTAACAGAAAGCATTATTCAGTTGTTTTTCAACACACGTTTATCTATTAACGTCAATGGTTACTTGTCCAAACCTCTTGAGCAACAGCGAGGCCTCCGCCAAGGTGATCCTTTATCCCCCCTCCTTTTTAATTTAGCTTTAGAACCCCTACTCCGATCTCTTCTCGCTTCCCCCTCTCTCCACGGTTTTTCTTTCTCCGTCCCCAATGCCCCTACCCCCTCCTATTATATCAGCTCACCACCACCATCCCTTAAGACCCTTGCTTATGCTGATGATGTCCTCATCTTTATCTCTCGTCCAGAGGAGCTGTCCCATGTCATGGCGATCATTGACCTTTACTGCAAGGCATCCAATGCACGTCTCAACCACCACAAGTCATTGGCGGTGTCTCTTAATGGCAAGGTTCCGGAACAATGGCGACAAGTATTTGCCTCACACCATATCACCCAATGGCATGATCGACATTGTACGACAGCAGCAACTTATTTGGGATTCCCACTCAATAGCTCGCACATGCAACTTAAGCAGTTTTTGGAGTCTCGGCTTAAGCATATGCAAGGTTTGGCAGATCGGCTACAATCTCGTCGTCTATCCATCCGTGGTAAAGCCTTGGTAGCGAATTCTCTCCTTTTGAGCCGCATGTGGTATTGTTTACGCATTCTTCCACTTACTCAACATTTTCTGGAATCTATTCAATCGACCATCATGCGTTTCCTTCAAGGTAAATCAATTCCACTTGTCGGCTTTACAACTTGTGCTCGTCCCAAAGCTGAGGGTGGTCTTGGTATTATTAACCCGAAACATCATATAGCAGCTTTACAACTTCGTTGGTTGCT